GTTTGAGATCGAGCTAATCTCTTACTGACGCTGAGCTCTTATTTCTGCTCTTTCTTGCGTGTTATCTTTATTGGCTTTTTACGCCCCTGAAATTTATGTTCATGCTCTTGAATAAATGTTTTATGATTATGTAAAAAAGGTTTTTTATTAAAATATAATTTTTGTTCTTACAACTATCTTATCATCTAGGTATTGAGTAATGTTTATAATATTAATAATAAAATGTCTTTATTTTCGGGGTGAATTTATATTTTTCGGAGGGCTCTTCGTGTTGTCCGCTCCTTCAGGTAGGTCCTCTCGTCGAACCTCCTCTTTGTTGTGGCCTGCTGGCTTCCCCGATGTCGGCATCCCTTCGGCGTGGATCTGAGAATGTTAATTAGTTTTGTTTCAGTTTCGGAAAATTGAGGCGATTGGAATCGTCCTCAGCTAGTCTGAGTGGCAGTTGCAAGGTTGGGATGGGTTAGGAATAACATCTTACTGCTTAATTATATACTATCACAACTATATATCTTATAATTCAGCTATAGTTACTGTACTGTGCAATCGTTTGGGAGATGTAGGAATCCTTATAACCATAAGACTAATAATAACAGAGGGAAGATGAGAACTAACTATATTCAAAGAAAGGACACTAAATATAATACTAATAACCCTAGCCGCCATTGCAACCGCCACTCATTTTCAATGAGGTCGAATGCGTTCGTCTCAAATGTTAATATAAAATAAAACGATTCACAGAAGCCCGATGAACAACAGGAGATCCGGAATAGATCGGACAGCCCAAGGACAGCAAAGTCAACCGAGGGATTGAAGGAGGAGCCAGCGCAGAGCCGCAAATGAAAAAGAAGAGCCCTCCATAATATTAGAGCCTATCCTCTATAATAATAAAACACTTAGATTATAAGTTACACACAATGTACAAAAACACAATATTAATATTAAAAACTATTATTATTATATTAAAACATATTAAACAGTTAACCTTAAGATATCGTAATTCTAAGAATGTATTAAAGATACTCATTATATAACATTTTACATATTCATTACAAAACATTAATAATAATATAACAATATTCATTACAGAGGCCTAAGATGCCATTAAATATCAATTTTGATAACATACAGTCGAAACATAGCTCGACTAATTTATTACTAATTATTATAATCTTTAGGTTAATCTCAACGTCGATTAGAACGTTAATTATATTCATTCATAAAGCCTGAACAATCTGCGAGCATTTGGGAGCAAGTTATAGCTCATTCCATATAAAGATAATTTAAATAAATAATTCCTTTTGTCACATTGCACTTTGCAAACAATAATATATAACGGGAGAGTCACATCGAGAGTATAAAAGCTCTTATTCAATATTATGATTTTTTAAAGAATTAATTTCACGATAGTTTGTCAATTAAACACTTATTAGACTCAATCCCAAAACTCATTTTACAAAAGGAGCTCGTAGAGGCTTATAAAAGGTTGAATACTAAATTCAACCTAATAGCGCAACATAAAATGCGCGTAATAGTTGAAATCTTAAATTTCGATTATTAAAAAGATGTTTTACACCTAAAAACCGAAAATTAGCGTTTTGCGCTATTTTCATAAATATTCTATTTTATTAGAATAATTAGAATTAAGTTAGATAGCCGTGTGACGAAGCGCAGCAAGGATAGACTCGTTATGAGCTCACAGCTGCAGAAACGCGATAGAAAGAAAAAAAAGATGCGATTAAAACATTTATTATTATTACATATTAAGTTACAAGTAGAATTAATTTTGTGAGCCCGAGTCACTGGATGAAATTTCAGAGTCCTCGTACCTGAAAAAGAAAAAAAAGATATCAATTTAATTTATTTATATTATTAAGATACTAGAGATTTACTTACCTGGACGCCAAACCTGAAACAAAGTTAAAAGGGGTTAAAAATTAATAAAAGTATGATATCTAATAGTAATAGAATAAAATCAGCTGATTCAGCAAGTTTCATGTTTGACGAAATATAATAATAATTTTTTCAATTTATTTCTTATTTTAGGGCGCAATTTTGTTATTTTAAATTAATCATTTAATAAAAGTAAATTTCTGAGTAAAAAGATCACTGAAAAGCTTCTCGACTTAATAATTTAATAAAAGAAAGAAAAATCGAACAGACGTTCAATAAATAGAAAGAATAAAATATATAATAGAAAGAGAAAAAGTTTCGACCAATAGAAAGGAGAGAAAGTCTCGACCAATAGAAAAGCTTTTCAATGATCCGGCGGTCGCTCTACACTGACATGTCCAGCGGTTGAAGGGGATTCCCCCAGCCTTAGAGTCGGACACCGCACGATGGGGATCGAGCCGTTGGCCCGGGGAAGCACCTCGATTCGGGGAGCAGACTCGGCAGTTGCCTCAAGCCGTTCAAAGAGAAAGGACGTGCTGCTCGTCGCGAGAATTATTGCACAATAGTTGCATCACACTAACGGCACTCCGCGGACGCGCGTTAACACGTTATTTAGTTTGATTAATTAATAATAGAGTCTCGTATATACTTTTATTTGTGAAATTAACCGTAGATTACGCGAAACCGCGACGTGAAGTGGCGATACGCGATTTTGTAGTGTTCTCAGTGTATATCCACAATTCATGTTTAATAAATAGTTAATATAAATAAAAACATACCTTGGTGTGAAGTGATTTCTCAAAAATCTTCAAAACTCAGCTCACAGCAGCCGAAGGAAGGACGACCGATGACGCACTTAGCAACAGGCCAATCCGCTGTAAATAGAGCTGCATCCTTCTCTCTAGCAGGTCAAAGGGAGTGGTGACCGTACGTAAAAGGTAATTCCACCAAGAAGTAAGAATATTTTTCATTATTTTCTCGATAATCGGTCACACCATCACCAAAAGAGCCCAAATCCCCTTCTCAGTATGACTACCAATAGCTATGGCAGCCCCCACCCCAGTATCCGCCCTAGTACACTCCTCTACCCTAGTAACTTCCGGGGTGTATATAATAATTCGATTCCAAAAGTTCCTTATATCAACTAATATTAACACATTTTTATGTTTTATCTCATTGTCAGTAATCACAATATTTATAGCAGGTTTAATGGCAAATTTTGAAAATGATTTCAAAAAAATTATTGCCCTATCAACCCTAAGGCAGCTAGGATTAATAATAATAATCCTAAGATTAGGACAAAGCATATTAGCATTCTATCATCTCCTAACTCATGCCATTTTCAAATCCATATTATTCATAGCAGCGGGGACTATCATTCACTCTATAAAAAATAACCAAGATATCCGATTGTTAGGAAACTTAAACGAAACTATACCCTTCACAATAATAAGATTACTAATTTCCAACCTAGCCCTAGGGGGAACCTCATTTTTCTCAGGATTTTATAGAAAAGACTTAATTATAGAAAACGTATACACGAATAGAAACGTTAATGTACTAATAGTAATACTAATTATCATGTCCTTAATGCTAACTATCATATATTCAATTCGTTTTACATATTATCTATTCTTTAACAAAACAGTAAAATTTTACAGATATATATATATCAAAGGAAATAATATATATATACTAACACTAACAATAATATCTAAATTCATTAAATTAAATAAATACTGCTGTAATACACCCTACTACCTAAATTTTATCAGTTCCATGTGATTTCTATCCAACACATACACTTGAATCTACCTGCCTGTTATCTCTGTAAGAACTAATGTACGAGACCTAGATAAAACCTGAATAGAATTCCTAAGTAAAAATATAGTAATAAAATTTATAAAAAAAAAATTACAAATACCCCCTACAAATTACACACATTCATATTCATCTTTATCTACATAAGAATTTATCTATACATATGATTTTAATAAATTTAAATAGCTTACATAAAGCATAATATTGAAGATATTAAGAAAATTACCTATAATTTTTAAATAAATAAAACCCCTTTTATTATTTTTATAATGAAAATATAATGTATTTATAAACTATTATATATTTAAAAAGTAATATGAAAAAATTTCATAAATAATGAATTAGAAGTCCATCCCTACTTACTTCAATTAGAAATATACAAATCAATTCAATGATATTATTAACAATAATACACCTCTCTTTTGGTTTTAGCTAACTATATTTAAAGTTTCCTCTTTTCCTTACCCTTAACTATCAACTAAAACCATCAAAAATCAAATTCTCAGATTTAATAACATATAAATCTATGTTTAATTCGAAATTAAAGTGTAAAAATTACTTTAAGAATTACTACACTCAAACTTCACTATTAAATATATATTATAGAAACATACTTTTTTAATGCAATTAAAATGTTCTTATAGATTTTAAACTAATACCCAAAAACAAAACCGCCTAAACCTACACATCAATACTTATATATATAAACAAAAATAAAAATAGTAATACCTCTCAACCCAAAAAATAAAAAAATATCTACCCCCAATTAAAGCTTTCAATCCATAGAATATTCATTATATTCCAAATACAATCCGACAATCAAAATAAACAAAAAAAAAAAGAATAAACAATAACATATGGATTAAAATTCAATAATAAATAAACCAGAGGTAATAAAAGAGCAATTTCAACATCAAAAATTAAAAAAATCAGCCTAATAGTAAAAAATTGAATCCTAAAGGGCATTCGAGAACAAGAAATAGGATTAAACCCATACTCAAAAAGAGATATTTTTTCTTGCCTTAAATTTTTCTTGTCTTAAAGCCACTTTTTTTGATAAAATTAAATTAAATACAAATAAAAAAAAGAAATTAAAATAACAACCATAAATACACACACTAACTGAACAATCACTTATATTAAATTTTACTTTAAATCTTTTAATTGGAAATTAAATGTAATATACATTATATTGTACTATATAAATAACAATTAAATAACAATTAAATAACAATTAAATAACAAGTAAATAATAACTAAATAATAACTAAATAAATTTAAAACCCTCATCAATAAACAGAAATAAATAAAAATAATCATACATCAACAAAATGCCAATATCAAGAGGCAGCCTCGAATCCAAAATGATGATAAAAAGAAAAATGCATACTTAATAAACGAATTAAACAAACAACCAAAAACGTCGTCCCAACAATCACATGAATCCCATGAAACCCCGTAGAAATAAAAAAAGTAGAACCATAAATAGAATCCGCTATAGTAAATGAAGCATTAATATACTCAAATAATTGAAGACAAGAAAAATAAACTCCTAAAAAAATAGTTATTATTAACCTATTTTTACTCTCCGCAACATCATTGCTAATGAAAGAATAATGAGACCATGTAATAGTCAACCCAGAAGAAACCAAAATAATAGTATTTATCAAAGGAATGTTAAAAGGATTAAAAGGATAAATGCCCTTAGGCGGCCACAACTGACCGATCTCAACTCTAGGAGCAAGAGCTGAATGAAAATAGCCCAAAAAAAAGAAAAAAAAATAAAACT